CCGGGTCAGTAGCAACAAGCGCGGCAGTAGTAGTCACAGTGTGGTCGTCAGGCATCATCTTGCCCGAGGGTTCTCTGGAAGAGGCGCGGGTCAGAGGGTTGCGAGAGCCTCCACGACCCTCAGCCGTTTTGACCGCCTCAACAGGACAACAAAAGGAACGGATGTAGGATGAGGAGCGCATGTGAAGCAGAAGATGCGCGACTCTAGAAATTGAAAGACCCCAAACCTGAAGCTCCAAACCCTCAAAACTCCCGAGCCAAGACGGCCCCCCTGGACCTACAGCCTGCAACCCTTAACGCCTTAGTCCCCAAAACCCTAAACCCAGAACCCTAAACCCTAACTCCTATCTGCCCTCAACCTCTACAGCCCTCAAAAGGTGGAGCGGATAGCCCAGCTGCGAGCAGACGTGCTACACAGTAGCGACTTGAGCTTCGAGTCGCTCGGAGGAAAGATGGGAGGGTTCAGGTTTGGGGGTTTAGGGCCTAAGGGTTCTAAATTTTGGGTCTTTATTGGATGTCCACTTTGAGCTGGGTCCTTGTTGGATACAATTTTTACAACTTTTGTCATTATGAAAACCCAATAAGGATTAACAATGATGATTTTTCTAAATTAGCCCCCAACAGGGAACCAGGTTCAGGTTTAGGGGTTTAGGGCTTTAGGTCTTTATTGAATTTCCACTTTTTAAGTTTCTTAAAGGCTTAGGGCTGTTGGGATTTGGAGATGTCGGGAGCTTCTTTGAAGCGACGCAGCCGAGGATGATCTGCTCCGTGGTGATGTGGACCTTCGCTGCTTCGTCGCAACAATCAGAGCAGGGCCCCTTGCGTTCAGTCCTTGGTCTTCGAGGTGTAGAGCAAATGGCTGAATCCGGCTTTCTATAGCTGTGGCCTGTGCTCAAGGGCCTGCCACGAAGAGAGTTGCAGCACGGGGCCTCTGCAGCTTGATATTGCAGGCTTCTGTGGCAACCCATGAAATCTATCGTGGCTCTTTGAGGGCCATTGAGGCCCGGTGAAGCGAATTGAGGCCATTGCAATGGCCCTCCATGGCCCTCGACGGGCCACGATAGGTTTGAGGGGGTCCGAGTGGAAGTTCCTGACAGCAGGACCTTCTCGGTAATGCCATGCAGCCTCTGGTTGCTGGTTGCATGTTGTCACAGTTTCCCACATTTACAGGCTGCGCCGCTGCTGAGACGAGTGCACAAACACTCTTCTGGCTTTTCTAGAAGTGGGGGTCTCCGAAAATAGGGGACCCTAATATAGAACCCTAAATAGTAGGATCCCTATTATAAGGAGCCCCAAATAAGGTACCCTTTACTTTCGGAAACTCCCAAGTAGCTGTGCTACCTGTGCATCAACAGGAATCCCTGCAGACAAGATCCCATACGAACGTGTACTGTCGCCCAGGATGCGGTACTTGCCACTGAAGAGGAATCCTTCCCGAAGGAGAGCCGAAGGGGGGAGGGATTCCAATCAGAGTTTTTCGATGTCCCTTACACCTCTAGCTCCACATACAGCTTCAAGCGTATTCCTGAATGGCCTAGATATGGAGTTTGTCTAGGGAATTATTCTAGGGAGACAGTCGGCCGGGCCTTATGCTGATGTCCGTGATTATCATTCCGCCGTTATCGGTAGCGTCATGATGATGCTCGTTATTTTTGTCGTTGTGATGGCCTTCGACATGATATTCATAGCAGAGGCGAGGCCGTTCCGAAGAACACAGGGCACTACACTTTCACGCGCACGGATTTGCCAACCAAGCCGCTCTCCCCGGAGTCAAACCCTTTACCAAGGGCAAACAGGTACTGAGTGCAACACATCCTCTTCACTTTCCGGAATCTGCGAATCTGTGGCATGCAGCTCGTCCCATTGGTAGCAATATCCTTTGTCCCGTTCTCCACGAACGACCTAGATGTCGAGCACAGCAAATTGGACATCCCTGTCTCGTCAAACACGGCCTTGCAGTTTCACTCTATTCCCTCCTATGTCCGTCGAGATTGCTACACGTGCTGCAGTTGCTGTGGGCCCTCGGCTGTCACCCTCGGCTGTCATACTGCCCCACGGGCGCAGGAGAAGTCTTTTCAGTACCTCATGAATCAGTACGTGGACCAGCGCGACACAGAGTTCTTCTTTGCGGCGCGTGGGTGGCCAGGCAGCAGGGGTGCAGGCCTGCAGTAGAAGCTCAAGTTTGAACAATCCGGAAGCTTTCTGGTCAGCTGACATGGCCGCTGACATTGACATCGCTGTGACTTCCGTGAGCCGTGCCGTTGCGAAGCTCAGGTACTTCTACTACTTCATGACAGCCTTGGACTTACTTCCCCCAGCCGAGGGGGTGGTATACCAAGGCGGCAGCACGAATTCGATCGAATTTGTTCGGATGGGAGCTGGGGTGCCTGCGGCCTTCAATACACGGTCAAGCAGTACCCAGTTAATTTCGTGCCAGCTCATGACATGAGCGCAGGAATCCCGAAGGAGCATGCTGCCGCGGTGCGAGAGGCTGGGGTTTGGAAGAAATCTAGGCAAAAAGTGATGTGCGCCATGTTATCGCGAAGGATAATAAAGACATGTCTTCAACAACCACTGATAATTTAGTCAATGTTCGGAAGAGCCATGTGTGTGTATCTATACACTCATACAGATCAAGATGCTCAAACCGTCAATCATTCAATCTTTCCTATGCATCCGACATGAGCACACCCGGCGTGCTTCGTGTTGCCGGCGAGTTCCGCCTCCTGCACTTCTGATTGGGATTTGACCTGGGTGTGTAAACTCGGGTTCCCTTTTCGATACCTACTCTGACAGCAGTTTAGCCAAGTCTGGGACCGTGGAAAGCCGTGGTGTGCAACTCTGCTTGGACTTCAGGTTCTCATCCCGGGCACGAGTCTGATCTGGCGCAGCTTCACCACAGCACTTCAGCTCTGGGGCAACATGGCGCTCTGTCAGCAAGTTGATTGCGGATCTTTAGAACTCTAGGATCAGGTGGAGGTTTGCGAAGCTTCCGGGTCCCCCCGGTTGCCAGGCCCAGGATGCTCATGAGCTATCACTCCGAAGACATGATGGCCACCTTTCGAACTCTGTAATTAATTATGTTCAGCATTACGGGGTGTCCGTCTATACACGGCATTTCCGGGACCGCCCGAGGTGGCGTATGAGAAGGGCATCATTCTGCAGATCACTCTGCTGCCCCGGGAGCTCCGGGCGAAGGGTGTGAAGTACGAATCCAAGGGCCGACGCCCAGTTGCAATTCTGACGGACCAGTATACTGAATAAATTAAAATCCTAGTATTTTTCTAAACAATATATTATATTGTTTAGAAAATACTAGGATTTTGGAGCCGTTTTGAAGCTATACTGCATTTCGTGAGAAAGGGCTCGCAGGTTTGGGCTGGGATTGAACGAGTTTGTCGGTGGACGAGCAAGTTTTTGCTCTGTGCTCCATCTCTGTCTGTGTATGTATGTATGTGCACACTGACACACACACACACACATATATATATATATATATATATACATATATATATATATATATAATAGATATCTCTCTGTATGTGTACATACACATATACCTATCCATGTATCCACCTATCTATATATCTATCTATCTGTCTGTCTGCCTATCTATCTATTTATTTAGCTATCTATCTATCTATCTATCTATCTATCTATTTAGCTGCTAGCTATCTATCCACATTTATATATATATATATATATAGATATCTATATCCCCGTCTGTGCCTCCCCTTTAGATCAGCTGTTCTGCTGGGACCCGGGGTACGGCCTTTTGTGGTCTCTGCAGAAACCTCCGAGGTGACATCAGCAAGCTCAGTGCACTGACGGGCTCCAGCGAGGTGCATCCGTCGTCGGAAGATTCGAGCCTGTCCAGAGTTCTGTAGACAAGCCTCCTGGGCAGGTGCTTTTGCTGCCGAACATCCGGCTGGGTGTGGGCACAACCCTCAGCTGAGTGTGTGCTTAGTTTAAACTATCGACAGTGCGTTGTGCAGTTTGGTTTCTCTAAATCATGCTTCTTGGCGAGGTCTAGATTATGACTGTGATATACTGTACAGGGACCCAGTTTTGAAACTCCATCCCTGTCTGCAAGCCGCTCAGCGCTCCACAGCGTGTACGTGAGCAGCTCTTGCATCTCATTGGCAAAGAGCCGCCAGCCACCGGAGCCAAAGCATCTCCCCTCATTCTGGGTACTGAGTCCGTCATTCTGGGTACTGACTAGGACCACCTCCCTTATGTCTGGGTGGCTAGAAACAACATTCTTTGCACGAGGTCCGGAGACCGTGAAGAAGGGTATTCCCGTGATCGAACTTCGGGAGATGGAGGAGGAGCCATGGTTGACACGCCCTTGAGTGCAATCACACCTGGATTTTGAGAGCTGTGGAGGACACCGCCATCACCCTCAACGCGGAAGACTTCGACTAGGCCGACCAGGCCTGGGGCCTTCTCGGGCTCGGGCCGTTGTCTACTTCCCCTCTAGAGAGATTGAAGAGAGGATGGTGTCTACGGCAATCGGGCTGACGTTGATGTCGCTCTATGCAACCCCAGCCTCCGGGAAAGGCATGTCTAGGCTTTGGTTTGGATCCAGTTCAGTTTAGCCCTTTTCTGGTGAGTTGAGGCCGGGGACTAATGCTCCAGCTTACCGTGAGAGCGCCTCTGCTTTAGGGGCCTCGATCATTACCAAACTATTTTGGGGGTTCCATATTATGATTATAGTATAATGGGCCCCAAAACTCTATTCCAATGTTTAAGTTTAAGGCTCCCATATTAACAGCGGCAAACGTGGAACCCTGAAGAAGGCGAAGAGCAACCCTGGACGGTTCCGGACCACAAGCAGCATACTTGCTGGTACACCAATGCGAGAGAAAGTCTCGGAACTACATAGTCTTGCTATCCCTCTCTACATGTCATATACACTGCCGTGCAACAGCATAAAATGTTTGGCACCCCCAATCTGCATCAGCCTATGGATCAAGCCGCATTCGCCAAAGTCGTGGCGCCATGGCCGAGATCGCCTCCGTAGTCCCGGAGCTTGATGCGCCCGGGCCTGGGAAGGCAGAAGGTGGGGTGTCAAAGGCCGAGAAGGAAGGGAAGCGACCGCCGCTGAGCACTTTCAAGACCTATGTGAACTTGGTGGGTGGTTGTCAAAATTATGGTCCCTTTTGGGGTACCCTAAATAATAGGTGCCGTATTATAATAAGGACCCCAAAAGGGACCATAATTTTGAGAACTACTCAGGTGACGGTGGTGATCGGCGCGGGCATCATGGCCCTGCCTCAGCTACCTCGTCGAAGCGGCTGGGTTCTAAGTTCCCTGATTCTGGTCTTGGTTCTCGTGTCCTCTGCGGAGAGTGGCTTACAAATGTGGAAGGCCTTCATGGCAAGTCGGGGCAGCTTTGAGATGTTGACTTTCGGAGACTTGGGACGGGAGGCCTGGGGTCCTCGGGGCGAGATCCTCGCAAATCTGGTGACCAACGTCTTCCTCTTCGGCATCTATTCGGCTTACGCCGTGCTGATTGGAATGCAGCTTGAAAACATCAGTCAGCAAGCCTTGGAGAAGCGATTCTGGACCCTGATCCTCTACCCGGTCTTTGTAGCCCTGGCACTGGCTCCGAATCTCTCCGCTCTCTCAAAGCTCGTGCCCCTGGGTATGCTGGCCGCCTGCGCCACGGCGGCCTTCATCGTTAGCAAGTCCCTGGCAGACGCGTCTCACTGGCAGACATGGGACCAACAGATACACTCAGCGTGGCCGCAGGCAGGGGTACTTCTGAAACTCGAGTTTCAGAGAAGACACTGAGAGAGGGGGGGGGGGGGCTTGCTTTTTTGCAAAGCTGCCTCGAGTTTCAGTCGCCCCTGCCAGGAGTCCCTATTGTCGCTTGGGGTCGTGTTGGCGACCTGCATCGGCGCTGTGGCCTTCCAGCCCGTGGTTCCAGCCGTCCTGCAAGACATGGGGAAGCCGGAGACATTTCCTCGAGCCATGCTGGCTGCCATGGTCACCTGTGGCTGCCTCTATCTAGCGGTGATGCTCTGCGGCTACCACGGCTACGGTGCCTTCATTCTGAATGACATCGTGCAATCCATGACCCACTCGCCGAAAGACTTTCAAGAAGCCTTCGACGAGGAGCTCGAGGCCTGGGACTGGACCGGAGAAAAGAGCCTCTGGGTTCCAGCGCTGGTCTCGAGCCTCGTGCTCGTTAACATCGTCTTGAGCGACTTGGTCGCACTCGGAAGGCTAACTACCCCGACCCACCTCTGATCGGTGGTCTGTCCTGCTGAAGCCTTGAGGCATGCCTATCATCATCATGGCGGTCTTCTATTCCGTTCAGGAGTCCAAAGCGCTGGCCCCTCATGTGAAGCCCGGCTCGTGGGCCAACTGGGTCATGCGTGCGACGCTGGTCACGAGCCTCTTGTCCACACAGCAAGCCCGGAGTTGGAATAGAGTAAGAGATAGTGTCACATAGCAGAACATGATATAGAAATACAACTCGTATGCATTATATTATTGTAAGCAAGAATAATGTGATATCTATGGTGTCATATCATACAAGCATGAAGCGCCTGCAGTTGCCGTCGTCATCGCCATGTGTGTTCCGCGCTTCACGTTGGTCTCTCGGCAGGCATTAGGTATCCGTTTGCTGGAAGACGGACCCGTAGCCTTCGTTGGCCACACGACAGACAAATGTGTTCAACGAGGTGCAGCCCAACAGCCATGAGTAGCATTAGCAGAACGGCAATGCCTGCTCGGCAGCTACACCTGAGCCGGAAATCGTTGGCCGTGAGAAGTCTGATCATGTCTGATCTTGTTCAGTGAGGTCTTCGGCTTCTTCTGCGCAGTGGCGGGCCCTGCTGTGGTTTTTGCTTTTCCGCTGCTCTTCTCAGGCTATCCCGGTCTCAGGGTTTAGTGCCTTAGGGTTTTAAAGCTCAGTGCTCAAGGGGCCTTTCAGAATTTCATGCACAAGGCTCAGAGTGTATTCCGCGCGGTGTGAAGGTAGCAGGGCAAAAGACTTCTCGAATGAAGGGTTGATATTGTTTCCGGTGCGCGGATGAAAGTGTGCCTTCTGTCTTCATCCCGTTCAGCTAGCCCACATGCTGGCATCAAGGATCAATCGCTAGCAGGGCACACCACCCCAAACCCTCAACCCTAAACCCTAAGATCGGCATCTCAAGTGCGCTGCAGGGCATTACACACACACACGTGTATGTTGATAATGGCTATAGATAGACATATGAGCACAGCACATATATATATATATATGTATACACATATTCTCTGTCTGTCTGTCTGTCTGTCTGTCTGTCTGTCTGTCTGTCAGTCAGTCTGTCTGTCTGTCTGTCTGTCTCTGTCTGTCTGTCTCTGTCTGCCTCTGTCTCTGTCTGTCTCTGTCTGTCTGTCTCTGTCTGTGTCTGTCTGCCTCTGTCTCTGTCTG